GCTGACTTTAAACTCAACCCTAGGGTCTAGGATGAGTTATGGTAAGGCTCATTTGACCATACCAAGCTCAATTGGTTTGGATTTGACCATAAGTCCAAGAAGGTGCATATGACCAAATTTTGTGTTTGGACTAGGTTATATATGTCATTTGGCCCAACTAAATATGGAATTTGGTGTAAGATACCATGGGGAACAACTTTCCTGAAGGGTGAAAGTCATTTTGAGGTCAATTGGTTAATCAATTTGGTGGATTTTTTATTTTTGACCCATTTTAAGCATGTTTGGCTAAGTGTGGGTCAAAATTGGGCTAGCCATGGGCTAAGTCCAAACTGATTGTTGTGTTTGGTGTAAAACATCTTGATGAACAACTTCCACGAAGGATGAAAGTCATTTTGAAATCAATTTGGTAGTGAATTTAGTGGATTTTGATGAAATTTGGATTTAGACCCAAATTAGGCATATGGGGCTAATTTGGGTCAAAGTTGAGCTAGCTTTGGACTAAGCTCAAATTTATTGTTGTGTTTGGTCACAAATAACCTCACAGAGGATTTTCAACAAAAATTGAATGCCAATTTAAGGTTTAGGGCATTCAATTGTTCAGATTTGTGGTGTTAGCCAATATTAGGGCTAATTTAGGATTTAGGTCAAAGTTGGTCAAATTGACCAAATTCGACCATGGTGTAGTTGGACAATATGAAATTGGGAATATTTTGGATTTATTGGGACTTTCTGGGAATTTTTGGATTTTTGGGCCATGGAGGGACATTTTGGTAATTTGGCCATTTTTGGAAATTTTTGTCAGTTTTGGCAAATTTGGATGTATTCAAAATGTTTGGAATGAGTTTTGATCAGTTTTGGGTATATTGGCAAAATTTGGGAATTTTGGCCAAATTTGGGTATTTCAAGTGCAATTGGGTAGAGAATCATTTTGAATGAGTCATGGACCAATGAAATCTCCATTTCGGGTCCCCATGTATTGGTCTTAGTCAGGGTATTGTGAGGGGATGGTGAGGGTAAGGTGTACCTGAGCTCCAAATCAACACCCAGGGTCAATCTTAAGGCCAAGTAACCCTATTGGAACTCTCCTTGAGTTCCCTCATAATGATCTTACCTACTAAGTGCTAGAGGTTAGGATCAATATGTGGAACTTCAAGTTGAGTAAAGAGAAGAGTTTTGAATTTCTAATGGTAAGGATACCTTTTCTAGTTTTCTAAGACTAGTCAGTAGGAAAGTCCTATGGCTAGCCCTAGGCTACTAAAGAAGTTTCTAGACATCAACCAAAAGTGAGGTCAACAAGCCCAAATGTTGACCCCTGTTGTTACAACACCGAAGAACATAGTATCTCTTTAGCTCTGGTTCAATGCCAGCATGTCTAAATTTTTTTTGCATTCTATAAAACTACAATTGATAATCTTGATTTCTAGGAAACAAAATTTTAAAGTAAGCAATATTGAATGCAAGATGTTCTACTTAATGAAATCTTCTCTTGCCACCACTCCTTATGTGCATCAACTATTTTTCTAATTGGGTCCCATCATAAACCAGTGGCCCCTCTCATTAGCTCCTATCACAACTTTTAGTCCTTAAGTTGATCCCATTTATTTTTAAGTTGAGTTTTGTTGTACAGTCTACCAATTTTTTTTGGAAAAAGTTTTGTTATATTTTACCATCATTCCTTATTGAAATGTATGGTTGGTTTATTGCTCTTTTCTATCTCTATCAAGCATAAATAACAGAAAATTATTTGTGTCTCTATCCCAAATAGTGGATATCCCACCTTTTTGTTTACTAATCTGATATCTAAGTAAAAAAAGAAAAGAAATATATCAATATAATTTGACATGTAAAACAACAATACATGAACCTAAAACAAAAATATGGCAAATAAGAAGTAAGGATATAGTTCATAATCAATTCATAGATATCAAAAATAGCACCATCCACGATCACCAATTTTGTTCTCCAAGCATAAAAACTTTGTAGTATCTGTGTTAAATTAGCATGACCATTTTTTTTTTCATATTCACAATTGGTAATTGGTTGAGCCTTTCATTCTATTTTTTTCATCATCTCTCTGCTAAATATTTCATAAGAAATTTGAAATGTACCCAGCAAATCGTACTTTGAAAGCATCACCGTAAACGGAAACCAAGCAACCAATGAGTCCACAAAACATCCAAAGTAATAAAATCATACAAATCTCAAGAATCATTTTCGATAAGCTAACAACATCCATTCCACCTCAACATATCTCAACATGGATAGATATATGAGTCATTGTTTTACAATTTCTCTGAGAAATTTTGTTTGTTGAATTTCTTGTTCTTCCCTACTCCTCAGTGTAGAGTAACATTTTGGAGGAAGAAAGTTGAGCACTGCTTTCTTCTTTTAATTTTGCTGAGACTTTAAAAAAGGGAATTGCATATGTTTTGTTGCAAAATTGAATTTTGCATCATGGATAAGTTAGCAACATCTATACTTATCCTGATCAAACAGTAAAAGCTATGGAATGAAATACATATGACTGGAGGTCAGCCCGACAACCCAAAGGGTCACTCAGCCGATCATGAACAAGCATTCATCAACAAAGATCAAATTCCCTCAGCAATCTCATAATTACCAACACGAGGCTCTCTCAGCAACTCCCCTATAGATCTTCGACTGGCCACCCTAAGGCTGACTGACTAGCTCTCCCAAAACCAACTGACTTCTTAGAGCAAAAATCGACCAACATCCAGACAAAATAGTCAAATGACACCAGATCAGTTGATCGACTCCCGGACCTACCGATCAGAAGGTCCATATACATTAAAAAACGTCAAAATCATTTACAAATACGAAAAAAGTATGACAAAAGACAATAATGAATCGTAACCCCTTTATTAAAGTAGAGGCAGACTTGTAATTTTTTACCTTTAGCCCTACATCTCCAATAAATGAGGGTCAATAGCATGTATTAGGGTCTTATTTACCTCTCTAGGCTCGAATCTCTTTAGGCTCCTCTCTCTAGACAGTTGTAATGAGATCTCTCCTTTTCTATTGTGTAACCCCCCCCCC